GAGTCCCTCCATGATGTCATTGGGAAGCTGTATTGTTAGGGACCTAGGGGTGTCCCTTCTACACTGCCATATAATCCAGATTATCAAAGCAGATAGTCCATATCATCTGCTTTGAACTGGATTATATGAGTCTACAGTGCGATATAATCCAGTTCAAAGCAGATAATCTGGATTTTATCTGGCAGTGTAGAAGGGGCCAGAGAGAAAGCAAGGGGAAGAAGAAAAGGAAGGAAGGAAGGAAGGAAGGAAGGAAGGAAGGAAGGAAGGAAGGAAGGAAGGAAGGAAAGAGGGAGAAGGTGTATGAGGAAGGGAAAAAATGAAGGCATCACTAAGAATATTCACTAGTACATAAAAAAAATAACATTAGAATGTATCAAACAATTTTATTGATTATCCAGTTGGCCTTATCAAAAACAGATAGTGCAAACACAACATACAACATACATCTAGTCCTCTTAAAATAAAATAGAAATGTACAGGTATTTGTCAGCTTGAAACCAATGCGGAAAATTAAGGTGCATGTGGACCTGGTTAGAGACCGGCAGTGGTGCCTTGAACATCTGTGATGAGGCAACCAAACATTCAAGACATCTAGGAAGTGGTCACTGATTTGTGGCACATGCATTGATTTGTGGTTTTAACGTCATATGTAGCAGGTGTTCTCCATAGGAGTGTTCCTTAAAGATATGGCAAAAGATAATACGTCTGTTGCTTACAACAACCATCCAACTTTGCCATCTGTAGCCAGCTGTTTCATGGCTACATGAATTGGCATCTCGTGTTGGCTGCTATAATGCACAGGCATCTCCTAAAATATGAATGCGTTCTCACCAAAAATATATAAAGCCGTCAAAAGGAAGAGGTATATTTAAATTTCTCTTTATTTTAATTGTTGAAATATATCCCACTGATTATACCAATATCAGGGGAGATTAGAGCAGAGAAGAGGAGAGATACTTAGCATTTTAAAAGGTATGAATTGGGAAACACTAGAACTGAGAGACTTAAAACGCTTCTTCAATTGAATTCTGCTGCCACCATTCCACTATTAATCAGGCTGAGGTAATATTGTGAGTTTGTTCTATAACACACACTGTGCCACTATAGTTTCATAGTGGCTGCTGTGACCACAAAGGTACGCACACTGAGGCTGGTATAAGTTAATAAAAGAACAAGAAGGTTTATTGAACAAGCTTGAAATAATTCAGGTACAAATGCTTAATGGTTTCAGAAAATACTGGCACGAAAAGCTTGTGGTTGCATTAGAGTAAAATCTTAAACTCTTCTGGGTTACAAGTCTTCAAAGTTCCACCACAGAAAATTACTTCAGGAAATTAATCTCTGAAAGTAACTCCCCAAAATTGCCCCTCAGAAATCTAGCCAAAAATACCCTGAACTAGACTTCCTTAGGAATTGAACAGTCCACTAACTGGGTACTGCTCCACCACAGTATTCTAGCTATCTACTAATAGCTACTCTGAATACCTCATAAAAGACTGACCCAATCTTCTTCTCTAGACCCAAACTCGCTCTGAACTAACCAACTCTCCAACTGCTCTCTAACAACTCCAAGCCCAACTGACTAACTGGGACTTCAAGCCTCTGTTTTTAAAAGGACTCTTTTCCCTTCTAAACCCCATCTTTCTAGCCAATTCTAGCCTCCTTATTTTCCCTCTAAGACTTGAACACGCTTCCTCAAGGAAAACCTAACTAAAATGGCTTCCACCCGGCTCCCTTTTCTAAAATGGACGCCGTGGCTTCGCCAGGCCCACTCCCTTAGGCTTCAGCCAGCCAGCTAAGATAAGGAATTCATTACAGCTGCCTACTCAGTATACCTCCATCCATGAGAAAAGAACCCATAAATCCTATTCTCTCCATGAAATTACTGTATTTCTTCAATTCTAAGACACATTTTCCCCCTATACAAACATCTCTAAAATGGGACGTGTTTTAGGCCCGTTCTACGCTGCCATATAATCCAGATGATCAAATCAGATAATCAACACTATCTGCATTGAACTGGATTATTTAACTCTGCCTGGCTTTTGTAAATCTAAAATGCTAGACCCATCTTGAGCGAACAGTGGAACCAGTTCAGAAAGGACAAGACTCTATTTACGTAAACCCCATTATTAGACTACTTTATTTGGAATCTACACTTGCATTTTAAACGCTTATATTCAATGAAGGAGCTGGGGGTGGTGACGGCCGACAGGGAGCTCTGGCGTGGGCTGGTCCATGAGGTCACGAAGAGTCGGAGACGACTGAACGAATGAACAAATTCAGTTCAAAACAGTGATGGGAATAGTGGAGGGGAATCTTGAGAGAAACGTGAAGGACATTTTCGTAGCTTGAAAACATAACAGATGCTCCAATATTATGTCTTTATGAAATTAGAATGTACATTGTGTGACTATAATAATAATTGTACCTTTCCCCACGTATGTAATATGTATTTCTTATTTTAAAAAATTACATGGTGGCACAGTTGTGAGTCCCTTTTGTCTCCTAGCAACCAATATTTTAGAGCCAGTCTAAAAACAGCAGAAGAGTACAGAAAAATGAAAATGATATATGAAACGTTGGCTTCGGCCCCTTCCACACAGATGAATAAAATTCCACATTATCTGCTTTGAACCGGAATATATGGCAGTGTGGACTCAGATAACCAAGCTCAAAGCAGATATTGTGGGATTTTCTGCCTTGATATATCTGGGTTATATGACTATGTGGAAGGGCCCTCAGTTTGGTCAGCACATATTGCTGGGTCTATTTGACCAAAAATGATTGGTATTGATTCCAAAAATGGTCCCCCTTTCCTCCCATCACCTCAAGTTTTGGAGATATAGACCTTATGCCATCTGCTCACCCATAGAAAACCACAATAACCATGTCTGAGGGCACTTCGACTCAGCCATATAACCCAGGGCTCTTCCACATAACTATATAACCCAGAATGCATGCAATAACATCCTGCAGAAACTTACTGGCAGCACATGGGATGCTTACCATAGATGCAGGCGAAACGTCAGGAGAGAATACTTCTAGAACGTGGCCATATAGCCCGAAAAACCCACAACAACCCAGTGATTCCAGCCATGAAAGCCTTCGACAATACATTATTATTATTTCGTATCAAAAGTATTGCATAGATTAGTATAAAACTGATAAAAATAGAAGGACCAAAAGCGGGCAACAGCAATGGCTTTGTCTGTAGCCTCCAACAATTCTTCCTTTGTACATGAGGCAGAGCATAGTGGACAAGCATACAGATGCAGAGTTGTCTGTTCAGGAGAGAATACTTCTAGAACGTGGCCATATAGCCTGAAAAACCCACAACAACCCAGTGATTCCAGCCATGAAAGCCTTCGACAATACATTATTATTACTTCGTATTAAAAGCATTGCATACATTAGTATAAAACTGATAAAAATAGAAGGACCAAAAACGGGCAACAGCAATGGCATTGTCTGTAGCCTCCAACAATTATTCCTCTGCACATGAGGCAGAGCATAGTGGACAAGCATACAGATGCAGTTGTCTGTTCAGGAGAGAATATTTCTAGAACGTGGCCATATAGCCCGAAAAACCCACAACAACCCAGTGATTCCAGCTATGAAAGCCTTCGACAATACATTATTATTATTTCGTATCAAAAGTATTGCATAAATTACTATAAAACTAATAAAAATAGAAGGACCAAAAACGGGCAACAACAATGGCATTGTCTGTAGCCTCCAACAATTCTTTCTCTGTGCATGAGGCAGGGCACAGTGGACAAGCATACAGATGTGGAGTTGTCTGTTCTGCTCTAGTCATACAAGGTGTGGGATTCTTTTAGGTAGTGCCATTTTAACAGATTGTTTGTTCAGTTGTCTGTTCAGGAGATAATACTTCTAGAACGTGGCCATAAAGCCCGAAAAACCTTCAACAGCCCGATAATAATAATAATAATAATAATAATAATAATAACAATAATAACGGTTTGGGACCCGCCTACCTGCATGACCGCATCTCTTTGTTCATCTGGGGAGGCCCTGCTCACAATCCCACCTGCATCGCAAGTGCGATTGGTGGGGACGAGGGATAGGGCTTTCTCGGTGGTGGCCCCTCGACTCTGGAACTCTCTCCCTAAGGACATCAGGCAGGCCCCGTCGCTAGCAATCTTTAGGAGGAGCTTGAAAATGTGGTTGTTCCAGCATGCCTTCCCAGAATAAGGAAACACCTAGCATTATGTCCCAACACACTTTATCAGAGATTTAGGGTATCTGCATGCCCATCCCCCTCCAAACACTCCACCTGGTCACGCCCAGCACTTTTTAATTTTAATTATTACATTTGGCCCTGCCAGTTATTTTAATTGCGTCATTGTGTGTTGTTAATGTCATTGCTTTGTTTTTTGAGTTATTTTGCTGTTGTTATTGTTTTTACTATTGTATTTGGGCTCGGCCTCTTGTAAGCCACACCGAGTCCTTCGGGAGATGGTAGCGGGGTACAAATAAAGTTTTATTATTATTATAACCCAGAATATCAATGCAGATAATCCACATCTACTTTGAACTGAATTATCTGAATCCACACTACCACATAATCCTATGCAATGTGGATTTTATACAGCTGTGTGGAAGGAGCCTAAGAAACTTGAGCACCCCAAATAACCCAAGGAACAGGCCTAAAAAACAAAAAGCAGACACTAAAAATATTTGCTGTCGTTGTTGAGACAGAGTAATTAATGGGTTGGGTGAGAAAGAAGGATGGGGAATGCTTTAACTGGAGAAATAAGCCTTCCTCTATGAAGACATGAAGGGAAGATTGAAAAGGAAGCCTTTCCCGCCCTTTTTTTGGGTGCTGCTTCTTTGCCCTGGGCTTTCCAAGGGTGGGCTGGGAGGCGGGCCATTGGCCGCGCCCTTCTCTGGCCCCGCCCCCAAGCCGCGCGCCTGTCCCTCCGCCGGGCGATGTCAACCAATGGGAGCGCGGCGTGGGCGGGGCCTCGTGCGGCGTGGGCTGACAGGCGGCGGAGGGCGCGCACTCTACCAGGGACGCCCGGCTTCTCTGCACGGCTCCCTCGTTCCCCTTCGCCGGCCATGGCATCCAAGTGCCCCAAGTGCGACAAGACCGTCTACTTTGGTGAGTGGGCCCTTCTTTTCCCTCAGTATTCCAGCCAGGCAGCCGCGCGCTTTGTCCTTCTCCTCAGAATATACTCTATTTAAGATAGCTGGTTCCCATATGGGTTTGCGTCCCCCCTCTAACTCCCCTCTCAGCCATCATTTCGGTATCAATAGCACCCCCCTTAATTCCATCCCCAGGAAAGGAAGGCAAGCCTTGCATAGATGCCAGTTTTCCTTTCTTTTTTTACTCCGTTGCTAAGTTACCATCTCCACCTGCCAGTCTTTGTTCTACGACTGAAACAGGGAAGAGCATCCATTGGGTGCTGTGCATCCAGTCAGCAAACGCAGGTCTGGATGGAGGGAGCCGCAAAACTCTTTGGACCCCTCTCAGGCTGGATCTATATTGCCATATAATTGTCCAGTTTCTGATCAGCTTTGAACTGGATTCTATGGCAGTGTAGACTCTTACCATCCCATTCGAAGCAGATAATATGGGATCAGATGCTGGATAATTCTATGGCTGTGTAGATCCAGTCCCTCCAGCTCTTTGGGACTCTTATTCTTTCCAATAGAGGGTTAGGATTGTGACTGTTTCCACAGGGCTTTGTTTTGGGCATCCTGCTGTCTCAGGTTGGCAGCGCACATGTCTTCGTTGTTTAATGAATTGTATAATGTGGTTTTGAAATTATTTTTAATGTTTTAAATGTAATTTTTGATTGTTTATATGCTGATATAAACATTTGATGCTTATGTAAGGCCGCCCTGAGTCCCCCTTTGTATGAAATGTATGAAATAAATAAATAATAAATAAATTGATGGTGTCCATCCATCTTTTCTCTGGACCCACAACATCTGAGGATGCCTGCCATAGATGCACGCGAAACATCAGGAGAGAATGCTTCTAGAAAACCTACAACAACCCTTTGGCTGTCCACATGGTTGCCATCCTGCAATCTCCAAATGCAGCCCTGTTTGTGTTACTGATCTTGGTTCTCTTCTCAGGACACTTGGCTTGACACTTGGTTAGACCACACCTGGAATATTGTGTCCAATTCTGGGCACCACAATTGAAGAGAGATATTGACAAGCTGGAATGTGTCCAGAGGAGGGTGACTAAAATGATCAAGGATATGGAGAACAAGCCCTATGAGGAGTGGCTTAAAGAGCTGGGCATGTTTAACCTGAAGAAGAGAAGGCTGAGAGGAGACATGATAGCCATGTATATATATGTGAGAGGAAGCCACAAGGAGGAGGGAGCAAGCTTGTTTTCTGCTTCCCTGGAGACTAGGACGCAATGGAACAATGGCTTCAAACTACAACAAAGGAGATTCCATCTGAACATCAGGAAGAACTTCCTGACTGTGAGAGCCGTTAAGCAGTGGAACAGAGTGTGGTGGAGGCTCCTTCTTTGGAGGCTTTTAAATAGAGCCTGGATGGCCATCTGTTGGGACTGCTTTGAATGCAGTTTTCCTGCTTCTTGGCAAGGGGTTGGACTGGATGGCCCATGAGGTCTCTTCCAGCTATGATTCTATGACACTACCGCCGTAGTCTTGCTTCCTGCATTTTCTTGCCAGCCTCTTTTCTTCCTAGTCTTTGACAGATGTCATTATTTGGCACATGGTCAAAAAGTGTCATGCCAAGTGTCCATCTCAGTATTTCCATTTCCATCATGTTATGGGCTTCATGTTTCTTTGTTGCTGGCCAGCACTCTGCCCATAGAGGGCAACTATAGTTTACATCTTAGCCTTGAGTTGTTCAGGCATTTCTGAGTCACACAGAATGTTAGTAGTTTGCCACCATTTCAACCAGGCTGCATTTATTCATGGCCACACGTCTGGCATTGTTTTGCCATCTATGAAGACCAGTGACCCAAGGTATTTAAATTAGGTGGTGACTTTAGCACTTGTCCATTAATTTGGATTGTTTTCCCAGTTTGGAGGCCACATTCCAGATACTTTGTTATGGGTATGTTCAATTGAAGTCCATTTTTACTGAGTCTATCACTTCATATCTGCAGCTGTTGTTGGAGGGCTGCGTGTTTTTGGGACTCTAACTCCCAGAATTCCTGACCATTGGACAAGCTGGCTACGGCTTCTGAAAGTTGGAGGTCCACACAATTTGAGGATGCCTGCCTCCATGACTGTGGAGACCAGGGTTTGGATCCCTGCTTGGCCATGGAAGCCCCACTGGGGGACTCGGTGTGTGTGTGTCACACTATCTCAGCTTTAGAGGAAGGCAAACCCTGTCTGAACAAACCTTGCCCAGAAATCCCTGTGATAGGCTTGCCTTAAAGTTGCCATAAATTGGTGCCCCAAATGTTAGCCCTTCTTCTGGGTATATTTGATCTGCTGACCCCAGTTCCTCCTTATTGGTTTTTGAGATACAGAACATATGCGATCTATCATTCGCCATCTGCTCGCCCATAGAAAACCAGGATAACCATATCTAAGAGACTAGAGATGATGCTGTCTATCCAAGGCAAATTTCTGGATCAGCTCCCCAAAGAACCCAAAAAACAATCTTACAAAAACAAGATGCCAAGAAAAAAATATTTTGTTATTAGATTATTTTCTCTACATTGGCAAGTCACATGAGAGCATGGATAACCTCTCGTTCGGTCGTCTTTGGCCCTGACCTGAAAGTTAGGTTTTCCAGCACAGAATGGCAACAAAACAGAACAAAGCTGTTTAACTCGTATTCAAGATTAATTACGTGTCACTAGTTCGCAGATGCCAAAATTGGCAGGTTGGCTCAAAATATTTCTGACGTGTTCAATTCATAAGATGCTGTGTCCCTCAGATGAACAGGTTTATATATTCTGGATCACCGTTTATTTAGTTCAGTCTGTTAGTTGAACGAAATACTGAGGCCAAGTTCCTTTTTATTGTAATTTTCCTGCATGCCTGCTTTTGTGAGGGAAACATTATGCCATCTTTTTTTTAAAAAAAGCAGCAGATGTTTGGGTCCAGAATGTGAGTTTGTTGCCACCGTTCAAATTCTTTTGTCTCTCCGGACAGCCTTTCTTCTGAGAACTATTAGAGGCTTAGAGGAGCAGTCTCTACTCGCCAGATGATTTTCTAATGGCATTAGTGTGTAGTATTGCCTTGTTACATCCAGCCATCCATCAGTTCCATGCTGAGGATTTGTTTTGCCTCTCCGCTTCCTGTAATTGTTTGAGATTCAGAAAAGCAAATGACATCACAATAGTCCATCTTCCTAAATCCTTCCTGTTTCTATTTATTAACGAGGTGTATGCACGCAAACCCATTTGATCTTTTTTGTACCGTCTCCACACAAAAAAGGAAGAGAGATTTACTGACTATACTTGGAAAATGTTTGTGCAGGTGTAGCAAATCTCATCATTTCCCTTTAGTTCAAAATTATATAGAAATAACATTTCTCCTCCCCCCCCCTCCCCCTTTGGAGAGTTACATAACAAAGAGATCTATGGAGCCTGAAAGAGTAGCTAGTTTTATTTGGCAGGAGCTTTTTTAGAATCCAGTCCAGTGGTGCATCTGATGAAGTGCAAGCTTTTGCCACATTAAATGTGTTGCTTTGGTTGCATCAGGCTGACCTAGCCTCCGCTTTCCTCCTAGACGTGTCTTTGGTAGGAATACTGTGGAAGAACACATGTGGGAAATGGCCTTTTCAGGAAAGAGCTTTTCACAGTTTGAAAAACTGATCTGGGAATGTGTGCTTTTTTTTTCTTCATCTGTATGAAAGGAAAGCTTTCTTGGCTTCCGAAGCAACAGTTTCCAGTGATGTCTGAACTGGTGAACTAGTTAGAGATTTCCTAGCTTGATATGTTCTCAAGGCTTGCTTTCCTGTGAGAAAGCTGCATTGAAACTCTGTATGAGAGTTGAGGACAAAGAGAGAACAGTGAGGAGGGATCATGTAGGTGTGCAACTTGTTTGATCATTACTCCCGAGACACAACCCACATTTATTATTGATTTGATTTAATTTATATCCCACTTTTCTCCTATTATGGGATCCAAAGATATTTGTTGCCCTATTTTATTTTTTTTGTCATGTCAGGAGTGACCTAAGAAACTGCAAGTCGCTCCTGGTGTGAGAGAATTGGCCGTCTTCAAGGACATTGCCCAGGGGACGCCCGGATGATTTGATGTTTTATCATCCTTGTGGGAGGCTTCTCTCATGTCCCCGCATGAGGAGCTGGAGCTGATAGAGGGAGCTCATCCGCCTCTCCCCGGATTCGAACCTGCGACCCGTCGGTCTTCAGTTCTGCTGGCACAAGGGTTTAATCCACTGTGCCACCGGGGGCTTCCCTATTTATGGATTATTAATGAATGTTTTGTCTCCATTTGCCTTTTAATTTTGTTTTATACATCAGCCAAAGTTTCCTTGTGTTATTTATTTATTTCATATCAAAAGCATTGCAGACATAAATATAAAACCGATAATAATAGAAGGAGCACAAACGGCTAGATAATTTTTGACCAGAAGCAGGCAAGAGCAACTGCATTGTCTGTAGCTTCATCCTCTGTGGATGAGGCAGGGCATTGGTGCAGACAAGCATACAGGTGCAGAGTTGTTTGTTCTGCTTCACAGTCGCACAAAGTATGGGATTCTTTTAGGTAGTTCCATTTTACCAGGTTGTCTTTTGATCTGCCCACTCCACTTCTGAGTCTCTTCAGGGATTTTCAAGTTGACCATTATTGGTTTGCCTCTAGAGGCAGATCCTCATGGGGGGCCATCCAGTTGGAATTGCCTGGTTTAGCTGCCTTGTGTTGGGAAGCAATTACCAATATTGCATTATATTTCTCAAGTTTTTTTTCTGGACCCAGCCCCCTGTATCTAACCCAGTGGTTCTCAACCTGGGGTCCCCAAATGTTTTTGGCCTACAACTCCCAGAAATCACAGCCAGTTTACCAGCTGTTAGGATTTCTGGGAGTTGAAGGCCAAAAACATCTGGGGACCCCAGGTTGAGAACCACTGACCAATGGCCCAATAGGAAGATTGACTTCTGTTGATGGAGAAACTGCTCCTTTTGAGGCAT